CTCAACAAATGTTAATGGTATTGAAGTATTTTAAAATACAACAGACGCCAGTAATGTTTTAACAGTCAAAAACGCACAAGGATATATCAAAATACATAGGTTAAACATCAATGCTTATAATACTTCTAGCAATAGTCAGTCGTTATTATTGTTGAATACAGCAACAGCAGGTGGAGCAGTATACTGTAATAACTTAGGAGTTGGAGCAATAGCAGGAGGAGCAGCGAGACTAAATGTAGCAGGTGGCGGTATTTCTATTTTTAGTGGTAATTGTAATTTTACTGGAGCTGATAATACATTTCACAAATTCAAGAGAACGAATGTATCAACAAGCAAGCGCTATTTTTTCATTAAATCATATTGCCACCATAGAACAAAACTTTTGTATTCAATCTAACAGAAGCGCAGACCCGACATCATCTGATATACGTGTAACTTGAAATGATACTAACGGTATAACATTAAAGAAACCTACTACTTGTAATGAAACGCTTGATGTAATAGGTAATTTATCGCGCCGAGAATGAATTTCGTGTAGATATTGGTGCTACGGGTTCTCCCGAGTTTCGTGACTTAGGTAGTTCAGTTGATTTCTATGAAACGTTTAGTATTACACATCAAACAGCAGTAGGAGCAGTGGAACAAATATATTGAAGGAACCCAGACACCGACGGGGAAACGATTATAGCAATGGGAACTAAAGACGTCTTCAAAGTTGAAACCGCTAAAATAGTTGTTGATGGTGATGTTGAATATACCGGAAGTTTGATTCCTTCGTCCGATGAAAGGTTAAAGAATGACATTAAAGAATTGGATAGTAAAAAAGCAGTTGATTCAGTTAAATACATCGTTCCGAAAACTTGCCGTTTTATTGATGACAGACAGCAAGGTACATCGTGTTGCGGTTTTATCGCTAATGACTTTAAGAATGCGAAGAAGATGCCGAAAGAATGGCAGAACATAGTAAAAGAGGGAACGGACGGATACTTAAAATTTGATTATACAATGACCACTCCCCTGCTTTGGTCTGCTTTACAACATACAGTTAAAGAAAATGAGGAAATGAAAGATTTGTTTAAAGCAATGAAAAAGGAGATGACCGCCCTTAAAGGAGAAATAACAAAGTTGATGAATTAAAGTAAAAATCAACAGCGATAGCGATTAAAGAACTAAGTATATACAGATATATATATATATATCTTTGTATAGAGCAGTAATTTATTGGAAATATGAAGATGGTAAAGGTGGCTATTATAATGAATACTTTTTAGATATGGAATTTACAATAAAAAATTGCCATTAAAGCTATATGTGATTACTCTATAAAACTTTATAACCCAATTATTTATAGAGACTTTCCATTATAGAGACGACCCATACACAGAAGAAGAAAAACGTAAAAGATGTGATGAACTAAAAAGAGATTATGGTAAATTATTTGAGTACATTGATGAATATCAGTTTAAATATGTTATGGATTCAGATGAGATGTGGGATGATAAAAAGATGAAGAGGGAGGGTATGACTGTTGGATTTATGAAGATTTATACGATGAAATGTGTAATGATGAAAAGGACTTCTTTTATGAAATTGAAGAACTTGAGAGGCATTAATCTATACTATAATATATATATATATATGACAGAGTTTGAAAATCAGCATAAAGTGTGTATGGGACTAATAAAACAAAAATCAATGGAAGTATCTGAAACTGAAATATTATTAACTGCTATGAAAGACCTGTTACAAAAATTGGAAGAAGAAGAAAAGAAGGTAGAAGCGTTAAATAAGAAAAGGCGATGCCCTTGTTTCAATTTTACTTCTTTACATTGTTGCCCCTTATCATTATTTTAGTGATAACAAATAATATGAATATAGAGCATATTATTAAGTGTTATCAATCTCAAAGCGCTGTTGGAAGCTGATAATAACATATTGTTAACATCCTTCGCGTTGGTGTTTATGTAGAAGAACGAGTAAGGAGCAAAATTAACGGCCTGCTGATACATATCATATAGTGTTTTCTTATCAACTAGCGCGCTGTTTTCTTCTAGGAAGCTAAACTTCATTCATATTCTTCAACCTGAGTCTACACAAAGCACTAGCATTTAAGCGAATTATCGGTGCCAAGACATTGTATTTTTGGGTGGGTAATATAACACGAGATGGCGTTATGTCTTCCACGAGTAAAAAAGCCGTGAAGAATGAGTATCTTACAAATTCAGGGCCATCCGCAAAGTCATCAACAACTGTCAAGACGCTAAACAAATCCTTTTGTTTATTTTTCTTCTGAGAATCAATGACTTTATGCTGTGTTTCTATTAACTTCTTTAATGCTATAGGGTCGTATTCTTCATAATAAACTTGCTCCTTTTCAGTATCAACCTTCATTACATCGGTTCTATATTTCTTAACGGGTGTCCATGTGTCATCAACATTAACGGTCGGCGAAAAAATGTAAATCCGTTCAAAGGATTTTCGGTATGTTTTTATCATTATATTTTGAATAAGCACCGTCTTGCCACCCATTGATGAAGCCACGCATAACATCCTAGCGGGTAATTTGGGCATCATTTCATATAGAGTTTTTGTATTTGTATTCGGGTATGTCTATTGGTTCTACGGTCGCAATTGTTTCACTCATAAATATTACTCAATTAGAAAATTTATGATTTAAACATATAATGAATGAAACATATGCTGCTTATATTGAAACAATAAACGGTTTAGAAGTAGTAGAGGCGCCGGTAATAAAAGATAATAAGGTAAAACGATGTTGCTATTTATGATTGCAGTTTGTGAAAGCAGTTATTATTTGCTTGAAAAATGTTAAAAAGTCTTACATAGTACAAATGAGCGATATAACAGAAAACGAAAACAAGAAAGGGTTTTTCATAAACGCTAATGGCATAACATGTATCCCTTGTAGGTGTAAAAGACAATCTTATCATAAGGAGACTAAAGCAACAAGGGAAAACAACATAGTTATGACAAATGTTATGGAGGATAGAGGATAGACGAAATTTGAAATTCGGTTCTACTGGACGTCATATATCGCCCGACGAAAACGGTATATTCAAAACTGACGGTCAAGTCGGAAGCGTTGAAATATGTGATAATGGATGGTGGCAAAATAGAATCACCCCTGAGGAATGCGAACAAAGACTAGAAGGAACTGGGACAGACATTGAAGTCATTAAGAAAGACATAGAAAGGTTGGATTTGAGCTGAATGATTTGAAACTGAAAATTAGTAAGAAATTTGTATAATATAAATATGGAGTGTTTATTTCCTAAGAAAGAGAGGAAGAGAAACAAAATGGTTAGAAGAACGAAGGAACATAAGAAAATACAATGCGAGATTAAATGCGATTTTGGATGAACTAGAGGATTACTATCACCATGAAGAGTATAACAAACGATTTAAACTGGTGTTTGAGTTTTATCAGTTGGAAGAATTACTAAAATAGTTTAAAAATTAGTTTGTGTTATGTATTGACAGTGCCCCCATGCCAGTGCCCCATGTGCTTCCATAAGCGCATCAGCAGAATCTGGTAATGGTCTAATTAGTTTGTTTCGTGCTTTTGGAAGAAGGAGAAGAAAATCCCGATAGTCCCTATATAATGTTCTCATGAATTAATTCAAGAGTTCAAATCAGTAGAGTATTCTTTCGGTATAAGAAAAGAATTTCCGAAGAAACACACGTAAAGAAATAACAACTGTATATATCAAGAGAAAAATGGATTATACAGATTTAAATACATACAAAATACAAGTGAAGTATATCAAGAAGATATATGAAATAAAAATACATGAAATAGATTACTTAAGCAAAATCAAGGAGTTATGTAAGGTGCTTAAAGTTTATTAAAGTGTGTTTGACCAAGAAGATGTCTTGAATGTTAGGCGCGATATATCTATTTTTTGGTAAAATCTCAGAAGATAAGAAGTTAATAAAACAATATTTGGATTTAATTGAACATATTGAATTACTTTGTCAGAGTGGGGGAAGCAAAGACACTAAACATTTAGATGTGAAACCAAAAGATGCTGTTAAGTGGATTAATAAAAGTATTGGAGATATTGAGAAAGATTATGGTGAGCTAATCAATCCTAAATAACAGGCCAATAATAATATTATTTTGTTGGATTGATATTATTCTTGTTTCTTATCCCTACCTTATCCCTAAACCTTATTCCTATCATTGCAAAATTATTTAAGAAGACCATTTCCGTTTTCAAGGGTTAGGGATTTCGGGTTGATACTATCGGGTTTTCTATGGGAGTGTTGGTATATGGAGTTTAGAGTGGTTTTTTCTATGTGGGTACATATGGTTCTTCTAATGGTTCCATCATATGGTTTTTTCCTATGGGTCTTTTGGTGAGGTTAGGGTTGAGGTATAGGTTGTTGTGGTTTTGGGTCTTTGGGTGGGTCTTTCCTAGGGTTCTACCTATGGGTCTTGGGTGAGTTGAAGGTTGAGGTATAGGTTGTTATGGTTTGGGTGCTAGTGGGGGTGTGCATGAGTTGAAAATGGAAATGGTTTATGCTAACTTATAGACCCCTCTGCCTCCATAGACCAGCCTTACCTGTTTATGCACCCATATACCCTTATAAAGCCCTTCCCCCAAGGGTCCAAGTACCCAATAATCACACACGGTCCAAAATCCTCCAAAATCCTTACCCACATACCTACTATCCTAAAAACGACTACCTAATTAGTGGGTCCTTTGGACCCTTGGGGTTCTATCTGCTTAATATGTGCCCCAAACATGTACCCAGAGGGTCCAAGTACCCAAATAGTAGGGTTTTAGGACCCAAAATCCATACTCTGAATGGTTTTTGGACCTTGGAACCCTACTATTTGGGTACTCGGACCCTTAGGGGTTTCCAATGAAGGAACAAGTATCTTCAATAGAAACTGATCTGAGCAACCTCCAAGCGGCGAGTAAACAGGACATCATAACAACAACATGCTCCAAATACTTAGGATTCTATGACAGGCCCAGCAGCCCGCGGACGCTGCGGCCCAGAGCGCAGCCCTCAAGGCGGCCTCTGCCGCCGGAGCCCCCAAGGCACTGGGCCTCAGACTGCTTTGTCTTGCCTTTGGTTAGCAGGGAATGGAAGAATGTTAGTAACATTTGTTATAATTGTACCCCATTCCTCCATTCCCTACTAACCACAGGTAAGTTGTGGGGCTTAGGGTTTAGAGCTTTAGGGTTTAGAGTTCAGGGTGTAGGGCCCGTGGGCTTCTAGGGATGTTTAGGGCTTGGGGCTTATGGAGTTTAGAGTGTCTAGGGATTTTTTGGGTTTAGGGTTGAGTTTGTTTGGTTTATAGGGTTGAGGGTCTGGATTTGTTGTCGGTGTTGTTTGTGTGCGTGTCTCTTCGTGTGTGTTGTTTGTTGCTTTGCTGTGTATAGCTGTTGAATTAAGTCGTGCGTTGTTGTGGTTTGCTGCTGTTTTTGATCTTAGAGTTCCACTGTTGTTGACTACGTGTTTGATTGCGTGGGCGGGTTTTAGTTGGTGACACGCAACTCCTAAATAACATTTAATTACCCGGAAGCCATAGGAAGTGAATTAATCCTGTTCAGTATTGCCTACGGCCCGTTCCCTGTTACTCCTAACTAAGACTTGCCCCGAAGCCATAGGAAGTAAGATAGTCATGTTAAGCATTGCCAACAGCCCATTCCTCGCGGTTCCGAACTAAAACTTGCCCAGAAGCCATAGGAAGCAAGATGATCATGTTAAGTATTGCCTACAGCCCGTTCCCGACTGCTCGTAAATAACGTCAAAACTTGAACAAGAGCCATAGGAAGTAAGATAAACATGTTAAGTATTGCCTACAGCCCGTTCCCTACCACTCGCTACGTAAAGAAAACTTGCCCAGAAGCCATAGGAAGTAAGATCATCATGCTAAGTATGTTCAAAAGCCCGTTCCGCACTAGACTGAAGCCTTCCGTCCAATGGTTGGCACGTACATTTGCACACAAACACGCAAACGCAGACATGTGTATATGAGTGTAAAATACACAATGAACAGATTATAGCTTTTGCACAACAACGACCTTTTCCGAGAAATCGTACAAAAAGCGAGGGAATACGCTGATTCTAGCCCTAGAAAGTCGCGCGGCGAATCAAGCCTAGTTGGGTAGGTGTTGTCGTGTGGCTTGGCTCAGGGCCTTCCAGTATTCCTGATAATTACTCCTGCCCTAAATCCTGGTTTAGGGCTTCGGGTTTAAGGTTTGGGGTAATATCGCAGGGTTTGTGGTTCACGATAGCATGTGTAGATAAAGTAGCCCAGTACCTCTGTGCGAAATTTCGCCGGGAAACCAAAATATTCTAAACGCTAAAATCCTAAACACGCAGAGCCCTAAACGCCCAGATCCCAAAGCCCTAGAGCCCTAAACCGCAAAACCCTGAACCCCTAGAGCCCTAAACCGTAATTTAAAGTCCTACCTAGAGTCTCCATTGTAGTTCCTTTTTTTGGTTGCCCAGCTTTATGGTTAGGATCCTATAATAGAGATTTTGGTTAACCAAAAAAAGGAACTACAATGGAGACCATAGGTAAACCCTTAAGGAAGTGGCCGAACAGCTGGCGGAGTCTGCCAGCCGAGCGGCCAAGGTCGGTTCTCCGTTACCCAAGGTGTCCTAGGTACCGGTTTAGGGTTTAGGGTTTAGTGGTTCAGGGTTTAGGGTTCAGGGGTTTAGGGCCTTTAATTTAAGGGTACCATAAGGGTTCCTTGAAGGGATCTATAAGGGGTTATGCCATTTCTGTTGGCTTGGGGTTTGAGCTTTAGGGTGTCGCATTCAGCAATTGGGAATTGAGGTTTTAGCGTTCACGAATTCGGGCTTCTAGCATTTAGGATTTGAGGTTTTGATTGGCGGTGAGGCTTAACCTGTGGCTCCAAATTCCGCGTGTTTCACGGATATACACTGTCAGCGAGGGGTCATGTCCCTCTTTCCATGTGAGTTCAGACCTCGCATAGGGTTCAGGGATCTAGGTTTTGCAGGCTACTGCCTACGGTTCTGGATTTCGACGCCTGCTTGCGGTTTAGGGTTGAAGCAGCAGTCTGTTCTGGCTTAGGTGCGGTGTGAGCTCTCCTTGGCGTCTTGCGTCTGCGTTGTTCTCATATATCGCTGTACCAGAGCCCCCACACCTCAATAAAGGAACCAGGTTCAATATTTGCTATAGATCCCTTTTATGGTAACTTCAACTACTTCTTCAACAAGAGCCCATATTATTCACTATAGAAATGACGATAATTTGAACTGCACTTCCTACTCTGGAAACTTAAATTAGAAATCCACTATTATGGCAACTTAAATTAAAATCCTTAACCAGAACCCAATACGGTCCTGCATATAAAAACGGTTTAACCATACACGGAAACTACAATGGAGACCATAGCTAGACATCCCTTCCACCACAGTAAAGGAACCCTGTTATTTACTATAGATCCCTATGATGGTACAACTTGAATTCAATTCCATTTTTATGGGGTCTAGGGCCCTAGCTATGAAGTTAACAAGAGCCCGGTTCCAGTCCCTAAACCCTAAGCCCTAAACCCTAAACCTTAAACCCTAAACCCTAAGCCTTACACCCTAAACCCTAACCCCTAAACCTTAAACCCTAAACCCTAAACCTTATAAACCCTAAACCCTCATCGTCTCGGCAGGATCGGCTGGCTGGCAGCGCCGCGCGGCGGGCCGATGAGGCTGGGGCAGCTGCTGCCAAGGCCAGCTCCCAGGGCTGAGGCCGTGGGTCCCACGGAATTTCAAGAGGGTCCATAATGGGTGGTTGTCAAAATTATGGTCCCGTTTTGGGAACCCTAACTATTAGGTGCCGTACTATAATAAGGACCCAAAAAGGGACCATAATTTTGACAACTACCCAAAGGTACTACCACTATGGAATTAGGTCCCGAAAGACCATCCCCGTTATGGTTTTTGGGAGTGTACATGGACTCTGTGGGATTGGGTTTGCCACTAAACGGCCTTATAGCCCAGAGTCCAAAGCCAGTGAACGCTGGAGTTCGATGCCTTGAGGTCAAGGCTCCAGACCCACCCCCACCTTCAACTCCAAACCTGCACCCGATGGTCAGGCTGTAGCGTTTTGGGGTTCCCCAAACAGCCTCAACATCTGCAAGGGTTTTGGGCTAGGGAGCTCTAGTCCGCCACTTCAACGCAATACAGCTCAAATTCTCTGCTCTACGCTATCACGAACACAGGATTCTTCCTCGTTGCAAAGTTGAACCTGAAGCCACAATCGCTGAAGCCGAACTTAACAGTCGAAGTTCTCAACCTTCAACAAAATCGTTCAACCTTTCAAGCAGATCCTTTGTTTTCATCACAGCAGCAGCATCAGTCGTCGACGTCGTACGTGAAGGAGCAAGGAGAAGGAACAGGAATAGAAGTCGGACCGTTATTGGCAGGTTTTGCTGTGTCCGTGCTTCTCAAGAGAACAGTCACTGCATGTGTTGTGGCATGTTGTTATCATGGATATGCGCAAAGCATGCTGCTATCAAGCTTCTGCGCATCATGCTGCTGAAATTGTGGTCGGGGTTTGTACACTATCTTCAGTGTTCTTATACAAAACTAAACTCCAAAAGACTACTCAGAACCATGCTTACACTCCACCATTGGCCTCAAAGGTGGCACTTGCATCCGGAGCGCCAGCGGAGAAGGCAGCTGATGCTGCGACTTGGCGCAGACTTCAAAGTCCGGATCCTATAGTGATGACTATGGGGCTATACAGGCAAAGCCCAAGAACCCGCCGCGCACAAACTAAAGCCATGAAGCCCAAGGCTGTGTTCAAAGGGCCCTTGGATCCTCAAGCCCCAATCCCTAATCGGCGAAGCGCCGAAGCCTTAACCTCTGCATCCCAAAAAAATCGAAGCCCCAAACCAAACCTGTCAATGTTAAAGGAGTCCGAAACAGCGTGCTGTGTTTCAGCTTGCAGGCAAGTCAGCGCTCCGTCACATACACGTATGGACATATGTCTACATATCTCATGTGGGTATACCAATGTCTTTATACACATAGACCTTTTGATGTTTATATGTATGTGCACAGTCTTACATGTATGTACAGATATGTACACATACACAGAGATATACATAGATGCTCAATAAGTACAACGTACATAATCATACACATGTACATTGCGCATATAACACCACCTACCTGCCAGCCTACCTACCTGCCTACCCACCTACCGATCTACCCTACAAGCCTGCATATGTGCAACCATGTGTGTCTATGTGTAAGTGTTTTACATGTACAAGCACATGCGCATAGACAAGAGCATGTGCATGAATATGCGCATATACACATGCATATAAGCATATACATCTACAGATAGTTATACATATACATACACAATCACATATGCATGTACATGCGCATACACATGCACATACACATAGTTGCAAACTGAAATATACACGCACACATGCACATACGCATACACGCAAACTTACAAGTTCACATGCATGCATGCATGCTTGCTTGTTTTTTCTAGCTTGCTCGCTCGCTCGCTGGCTTGCTTGCTCGTTTGCTTGCTCGCTTGCTTGCTTGCATATATACATACGTACGCATGTACACAAACACTAGAAACCCAAGCCGTCAATCCCGAACTTTCCGAACAAATGCCAACCCAGAGGGGACAACTACCTACTCATCATATGCGCATCCGAAAGCTAGCTTCGGGTATCGGGCGTAGGGTTTTAAGGCTTACAACTCAGATGCTGTACCGAAGCACTCCGCCCAGGCAACGCCCCTAGGCCCTTAGACAAAAGAAGTCGACGCCACCGAGGCTGCCAAGGCAGCAACAGAGGCTGGTGTGGGTGCAGGGCTCGGCAAGGAGGAGGCCAGGGTTTCCTTCGGTTTGGCTTTAGGGTTTAGGGTTTATAAGGTTTAGGGTTTAGGGTTTAGGGGTTTAGGGTTTAGGGTTTATAAGGTTTAGGGTTTAGGCTTTAGGATTTACCCTAAGGCTCCATAGTAGTTCCTTTATGGGGTTCATATTTAGAACCCTATAAGGTAATCCCCAAAAGGAGCTACTATGGAGCCTGCGGGTAGCTTGGTCAGAGGTTAGGGTGCAGCCATGGGTAGAGTTTACGGCTTTGCGGTTCAAGAGTTTAGGACTAAGAGTTGCCTGGTTCAAGAGTTCAAGGGTCAAAGGGTATAAGTCGATCACGAACACGACGAAGTAGAATCCTGTAAAGAAAGAGCTGTGGAAGGGGCGGGTAGGTGGGAAACGTAGTTGTAGGCTCTTGTTTGGAAGCTTCGGCACGACTTTGCTGCACTTTGCTGTCCGAGAAAGTGCCGTGCTTTCCTAGTCTGTTGAGTCATGAAGTGCTCACAGCCTTTGCACTTGAGGCTTCCAGCAATTTGCGGAAACTGCCGGTGTGCAAGTCGTTTAGGTTTTTAGGCAAGAGCTTTTGATAGACCCCAGTTCGGATGATGCGAGAATCTATGTCAGTCTGATTCAATGGCCGAAGGATGTTGCGGATTCGTTGTATTAATGTAACAGCGAAGATTCAGCGGTGTAGAGCATGGTATAGAGTGTCCTATTCAGCCGTCCTTGCGGAAGTGACCCAAACACAAAGCCATTCAATTCAGGGTTCAGTGTTCAGGGGTTTTTCGAGAATAATCAGCAGATCTTCCGTTCTGAAAAGTTGCCCTTAAACCTGAACTCCCGGTGTTTAGCTGCACAAAGAGCGCAAAGCCCAGGGTTGAAACCCTGCCCAAGGATTTCTGCACCTCGGCTTTGTTCTGAAGCACCTCCAGCCTGAATCCCCATGCAAACCCTGAAGCATGTTCCCTAAACCCGAAACCCCTGAACCCTAAACCCTAAACCCTACACCCTAAACCCTCAACCCCTAAACCCTACATCCTAAACCCTGCACGCTAAGCCCTACACCCTAAACCCTCAATCCCTAAACCTTCAACCCCTGAACTCTTTGTCTTCGTCGCTGCAGGCAGCGATGGCAGCCGCTTTGGCTTCGGGTGATGCTGCCAAGGAAGCCGTCCTGGATTCTCGGCAGCGAAGAAACCCTGAATAGCTCGGGGGATTCCTCTCTTCGGGTTTAGGGTTTGGGGTGAAGGGTTTAAGGTTTGTGGTTTAGGGTTAAGGGTTGGGGCCTTGATTGCATCGGGTCCTGGTAATTGTACGGTTGCGACTTCTAGCATAGTTAAACTACGATCACCCATGTTTTGCAGGGTCTCTACAAGCACCGTGATGTAGAACTTATGCAGGCTCAGCAGACAAGCGATGTTGTATTTCAATAGTTGTTTCATTCTTTGTTTAACAACCACTGTATATAATACAGGAATCAGTCCATGAAATTGGCTTATAGATCTGCAGCGGAGACTGAAGGTATTGGCAGCTGCAACTTCAGCTCACGCCTGTCTCAAGCCTTTGAATCCCCCGAGTTGAACTTAGGCAGACAAGGACAATGTACAGGAAGCCGCCGAGAAAGCCAGCAAAGCAGCTCCCCGGCTCTCTTAAAGGGGTTTGGGGTTCGACGTGTAGAGGGTGCAGTATCGAGCTAGGGGTGTTTAGGGATTTTCGAGTTCAGGGGTTTAGGTGGGGGGGGGGGGGGTAGGGAGTTCAGAAGCCCAAAGGCATGTAGCCCCAAGTCGAGTCAGCGACAAGCCTGAAACCCCAAATCCTTAGTTCAGCCCCGCGGCTATGTTCCCAAAGGCTCCATGTACCTTTGTAGTAGATGTTTAAGCCTCAGGCACTATAAGGCCTAAGTATATACTATATGGGTACATGGAGCCTTATGGCGCCGTCATTGCGATCCCTGACTCGACACTTGAAATCCCGAAAACGCCGTTTCAAGCTGTACCTAGTCTGTCCACTGTGCTCCTTTCCGTGGACAACCAGCGCTTTTCGGATCGTAACGATAAAGCCAGGACTTACTGCTTAGGAACCCTCACAAACCCTACACTGCGAACTCTCAGCCTCTCTATACCCGAAATCCTTCAACCCCTAAGCCCTCAACCCTAAACCACACACACAACCCTAACACCCTAGACCCTAAAGCCGTAAACCAGCTTAAACAACCCTAAAAACCTATATCAGTACCGTAAGGACGGTCCATACATACTCCTAGTATGGAATTAGGGTCCCGAAACTATGATAGGGATGGTGTTTTGGGGCCTAATTCCAGAATGGCTATATCACACGCACATATATATATATATATATATATATACATACACATACAAAAACATATATATATATATATATATATATGTGTATATATATATATATGTATATAATATATATATATATATACATATATATATATATATGTATGGATGGACCCTGTGGGAGAAAAAGACCGGAGGCTATCAAGGCAGCCACCGAAGGCGGTTTGCCCAAAGAGAAGGTGGCGGACTCCGCGCGGGAGGTGGCGCTTCGGGCTTTAAGGCGTACCCCAAGGCATGACTACTATCCTAAAGCCGAGTACCTAATTATTGGATCCTTGGGACACTT